AAACAAAATAAAAGAACACTATTCGTTTAAGGGCATGAGACGATTCGTACGAAAATAGGTCAATTCGTGTTTAAACTGCTTATATTATAAGGGTGGTTGAGATCGTAAACCGGGTTTACTGAATTCCATAGAAAAAGTGGCAATACCATTTCATACTGTATACGTCGAACATGTAGGACCATTTGTGCGTAGCAAAGGCAGTAAAAGCTATATATTAACAATTGTTGATGGCTTTACAAAGTTTTGTATTCTTGACCCTGTTACTGACATCTCCGTTCGAGGAATATTAAAAACGCTGCAACAGATCATTCCAATTTTCGCAGTATCATCACATATAATTAGCGATAGAGGGTCGGCCTACACTTCGCTCCGATTCAAAAAGTTTGTAGAAGAATTGGGGATAAAGCACATCTTGAATGCAGTGGCAACACTACTCGCTAATGGGCAGTGTGAACGAGTGAACCGGACACTGCTAAATTCGTTAGCAGCAACATGTACTGGCGAACCTGAAGAAAACTGGGACGAGTATGTCAAGGTTGTACAAAGTGGTCTCAATTCCACAGTTCACCGAACTACCAAGAAGTGACCAACACAATTATTATTTGGTTACAAGCCACGTGGTATGGCAGATGACAAATTGGTGGCGAGCATACCAGCTACGTTAGACCAGATTGACCTTGAATAATTGCGCAAGGAAACAAAAGAAATAATTGATAAAGATCAGAAGAACCAAAAAGTTGTGGAGGTAGTCATGGTCGCAGCTAGTCCGGTTGTGACAGGAGAAAACAACAAAGTAGTTGCTAAATCAAAAGGGCCATTTAAAATCACACTCGTATTGCCAAACGATTGTTATGAGGTGCAGGATCTCAGGAATTTAAGAAAAGCTCCAAATCAACCGAGTATAGTTGCAGTTGACAGCTTAAAACGCTGGGTCACATTTGATGCAACGCAATGGAAAAAGGAGGCAGATACAAATAAGATATTACATATAGAAAAGAAAGGAAAAAAACGACAAAGTTACCTAATATCTGAAACATTTTTTTTTTACGATAGTCTGTTCTTTAGTAGAATACTAAATTAACGGTTTGGGTAGTCTGTTCTTTAGTAGAAGACTGAATTAAAGGTTTTGGGCAGTCTGTTTTTTAGTAGAAGACTGAATTAAAGGTTTTTGGTAGTCTGTTCTTTAGTAGAAGACTGAATTAAAGGTTTTGGGTAGTCTGTTCTTTAGTAGAAGACTACGACAGTCTGCTCTTCATTAGAAGACTGGATTAAAAATTTTGGGTACCCTGTTCTTTAGTAGAAGGCTACGACAGTCTGTTTATCAGTAGAAGACTGTGACAGTCTCTTCTTTTGTAGAACGAGCGACTGATTGTCTGAAGAACTGTCAATAATAGCAAATACTAACCAATATTATTAATTGTTCTTGAGCCGTAGTTAGTGGCCTTGAGACCTGACGGTGAGATGGTCACCTTTGGACGATGACGGATGAGATACTAGCGAGGCACGACCGTCAACATAGAGTGATTTTTGCAATCACTGAGGAGCTTGAAGCTCTCGAAAACGAACTTATTTTGCTGGACTAATTGGTGAGGAGACTTGGAGCTGATCACCCAAAAGTGGATTCACTAATTAGTTGAGCGGAGTAATAAGTTAAAGAAATTGACCTCTTACTAATTCAATTGAAAAAACAAACTGTTTTAGGTAAAATTAAGTACATCGAGGACGAAATATTGTCAGTATGGCCGAATGTTGGAAATATTTTCGACGTTAAAACGAACAAGAGA